ATAATTTTATTTACGTGAGAATATGTTCTATTACGGAAGTAAGTACCTGTTATAATTATTTTATTTACGTGAGAATATGTTCCATTACGGAAGTAAGTACCTGTTATAATTATCTTATTTACGTGAGAAGATGTTCCATTACGGAAGTAAGTACCTGTTATAATTATCTTATTTACGTGAGAAGATGTTCTATTACGGAAGTAAGTACTTGTTATAATTATTTAACACGTGTACTCAATAGGAAATATTCAACCAAACATAAAAAAAATCTTAGATATTTACCATACATTGCCAAGTTTAATACAGTATTGTCTTAATGTTCGTTCCACTTCTTACGATTTCTAAAATTATGTTTCCCTCATTTTAGTACATAATCTCTATAATTGCAGTCTGTACTTAATTCTATAGCTCAAGGTTTTCTTAATGAAGTGTAAATATTTAGAGATTAGTAAAGGTGAAAGTGTTAAACTTTTATTCCTTATATCGGATAAAAAACTAGAACAACCGAATACAAATCCGTGACGTAATATCTGCGATGAAACCCAGTAGTTTACTAAACAGAACCTAATAAAAATTGTAAAAATTAAAATATCTTAGTTCACGGTAAGCAACAGAATCATATGATGACTAGGTCAAATCAGTACCTTTAGGCAACTTATCAATATAGCTTCGTCGATGTTAGAGAACGTTATTTTATGAAACTGTATAGGAATCTAGGTGTAAAAGTTGCTTTCGAAGAGTTTTTGCTTACTCTTAAACGTTTATAATACTTCGTTACAAAAGAGAGCACGAGGTTATCAACTTTCGAGTTAAAGCTAACATAAAATTTTTGTTAGTAGATTTATGCCAACGAAAAACATATTAGCTCTTTTTGGATAAAGGAAATTGGAGATATAGAATGTTAGGCATCTTGAAACTTACCTTAACTATAAACAAGTTTAAATATTTCTGTAAAAGCAAGAAATAAGAACGCTTAGTGGTTAGCGTGCATAGACTGTAAATCGTCCTGTAGTTTCGGGCCATAGATGTGCTCTAAGAGCAACAGCCAAGTCCCATTATTCGGCCAAACGAAAGTATCCCAACAGTTGGTGGTGGATGCTATTTACTTGCTGCCTTCCCATTAGTCTGTCACTTCAAAATTAGGAACGACTATGCGCAGATATTATCAAGCAAACAAATGCATAAACAAAACTTACACAGAAACTAATGATCATAAAATACAAGCGTAACTTCTAATACAATATAAACTTTCGCAACAATTTTTAAAAAGGTAATTTAATGTTTTAACTGAAAAAACTTTCAGCTTTTAATTCTAAAAACGAGAGTGGTATGTGTTGTTTGGAAACATTCTTCATTTCTCTATAGACAAATTGTATAAAGTTGTGTTGTAAAGTAACACAAATATTGTGTAATTTATCAACAATACAAATTATGTTTCCCCAAACACATAGTTGTGTGAACTACAACACACTTGATCGTTGTATCAATATAAAAACACAAGTGATATCTCTAGACAAAAAAAGTTTAAACCAAAACTTGAAATGTACAAACGCTGTTAGAGTAAGATTTAACAGCTTAGTTAAGAAATGCAATATTGAAATATTTTAATACAAATTTAAAAACATATAATAGAAAAAGAAGTCTAATGTTAATATAAACTGCTTAAAATAGTTAAGGTGTAATCAGAGTTTTTTATGTATATTCGAGATACGATAGAGCACAGCTACTGTTATTAAACATGAGCAATCAGTGAGATTACATACCCTGCCCTGCTGCTTCTTTTCGAGATTGCATGTGTTTATATCGGATAACGTCAAATTTCATCTTTCGAAAACTCAGAAAATCCTTCTTAGATCCAGAATGATCAACGACCCGGATCATTTTTGTAGTGTGATGAGGAGTCTCAACCTTAATGCGCCTAAGTAATTTGGTACAAATACGATCACACTTTACAGAGTTATTCACCTCAAACCGCGAAAATACCCTATTTCCCTATTATGAAAAATAGTTCAAAGTGATTCAGAATCCGGATTTGGATTCGGGCCAAATTTGAGGAGGACTGTTCCATATTGATTTTCCGTGTTGCGTAAAATTTTCGTGTAGATTGGTCTATTAATTTTCGAGACACGCTGGCGGAAACATACACAGACACACACGGACCCGATTGGAGCGAGGGTAATAATGACAACCCTGAGTTTAATTTTATGCAAAGCAACTGTCAGATGGCCTGTCATGTGGTTTAATAGACACGTTTCAGTAGTATAGAAAAGTGATCGAAATATACTATGTTCTCAGTTTATGTTTTACACATTAGGACAGTGTGTGAAAATGTGTAGATTGATAGTTACACATGCTAGGACACAACAGACATATGGACGTTTTTAAGATATTGAGAGCAATAGGTAGGCTAAAAGCTGATCAAACGCAACATGTCTTAGTAGAAGGGCTCCAAGTATCACAAAGTTTGGTTAGTAGGATGTGAACTTGCTTTCAAACCACCAGTACAGTTGGCAGAGACCTAGAAAGGGATTACCATTATCGAAAACCCTTAAAAATGACCACGATTTATCATAATGGGCTCGAAGAAACAAGAGGTCCTCAGCTTCTTCAATGGACGACAAGTCCGTTTGCAAACGGTCACGAACAGGTTTGATAAAGTTTGCCTTTTTTGGCAGGTGACCAACAGAGCTGTTCCTCTTTCTCACCGATGAGAAACAGCCCGCCTTCAGTAGTGTAAAAAACACGTGAATTGGTCAAACGCCATTTGAGCGAATGTTTGTTTACAGTCGAGACACGTTTCATACTGTAGCCAGATACGAGACACCTACACGTTTGGAAAGTTCTCAAGACCAGAACCTAACCCAATTTCAGGAATTAAAATTCACACATATGGCATTGAAGGTATGCTGGTTTCGGAAGGGATCACTAATGGCGGCTGCTCTGACCTTTGTGCGCTCTGAAATGCCACAATGAACGCCATACAATGATTACTGTTACCGTATGCAGGTACTATTGGTCAGAACTTTATTGTGATGGAAGATAACACGCACCCCTCACTATTCTCAACTCTTTAACAACTTTCTGGAAGAAAAGAGTATGGACGCAAATGGACTAATCAGTACGTCACCGGACTTGAGTCTGAATGATCATGTATAGACGCTCTAGGAAGAAGCTTGACTGCACGTGATTCAAGTCCAAGCAGTGTTGATGAACTGCATGCAGTTATGATAGAGAACCGAACCATATTATCGCAGGAGTTCATTTAATCACACATTTAACCTTGCCTCATCAACCTTTATGAAAAAACCCGTAAGAACTTCCTTATAGTTGTGAAGAACGCTATGTAATTGTTGGAAACGAAATAACTCTTTACAGTTCTGAGAAATAGTACTTAAAGAATTCTAAAAGTTATTAAAAAATATTTCTAAAAACTATTTTCTAGAGGTTTCTAGAGAGTTCAAAAGAAACGTTTTATGCAGGAACTGACTATACATATCTCGAGTACTCCATTACAGCTGTCATATATAATGCAATATTTTTGTTTCTTTGTTTAATGATATGCACTGAGGCTTTTGACATTTATTGAATGAAAGCTATACACTTCAATTAAATTTAATTCATTTGATTAGAAATGGCGTCACTGTTTGAGAAATGATTAAAACATTTTAATGACTGTTTTGTACAGCTCACGTACTTTTACGTTTCATTATATATGTTTTCGTTCTTGCAACTTCGGAAATACATCAAATAAAGAGTAGACATATATTTCGAAGGTGGCGCCTAGAGTTACGGCAATGTAACATTAGCTCTACGTCTAAAGTTACGTGGGTGTAAACTCATAAAATCTAAATGGGTGGAATAGTGAAATCGTAGAAAATTTACGTAAAATTACCACAGCTGTTAAATAGTTGAAGAAATGGTTATAAACAGATAATTGTAACTACAATCTCCAGAATTTCCACGTTATTGAAGTTAAAGTTGTTTAAAAAGGACCGATCTAGACCTGCAAGCGATTCACCATATTATAGAGGTGATAGAAATAGAAATAGAAGAAATGGACAAAACTTGACACGTTTCTTCCCTTTGCCAGGGCCGGTATAAAGACATCCTTGGTATTGTTGATCCGAATTCCAATTAATATCTATATCTTTTGGTATTTTTCACACATGGGTGGATCAAACACTACACTCGAAGTGATTTGTTTCTGGAGGGTCTAGGTCATGAAAATCCAAAAATCCCTATCTGTTAACATGGGGGACCGATTTTTCACACTACTTTTGCTCTATAACTCAGTCAAAAATGATTGTATTTCGATGAAACTTGGTGGACTTATGTAGAATAGTACTATTCACTGTCCTGCCAAAAATGGTCTGTGTCCGTTGATAACGACGGACAGACGGACACATTTTCTTATTTTTTGAGGGCCGAATATGATCAACGCTGCCTGGCAGAGGTATGCGTTCTATTGAGTGCCCTCTATAGTTATTCAAGCGTACAAGGGTTACTAGGATAGAGACAAGTGATAGTGAGATGTGTGGCAGCCATTTTGACAAACGGGTTTGTTTGTCTTTTATAGCTGGTTCTAAGAACTTATGAGTGAAAGCAAATAAGAATATTTTGATAATATGTAGACCACACTATATCCAGTGTCAAGGAAGCCTTTCGTCCAATACCAAGACTCATCAGATGAGCTACGAAAAACATAGAAGCAGTCTCGGATCTATTTATATCATTAGTTGCATGAATAACAAGTGTATTGGTGTGAACTAAATTAATCAAAGGAAGTGTAATTATTACAAATTCCAATTAAGTCATTTAAAAATCGGAATAAACTATCATTCAGAAGAAATGGCAAATCAGAATGCTAATATTCTGGCTTCCGGACCGATCAAGTAACCACAGCGTCAACAAGAGAAAAGCTGGAGAATGGGAGAAGAAAATAAATATATTCTGATGAAGTGGATTGGGGAATATTGTTGTGATGTGGACTTTGGAAGGTATGAATTTGTCATTTTCATCCAAAATCAAATAATAATTCACGACAGATCCCGAAAGACTCATTTGGCAGGAAATAAGCATAAAAAATCAAAATTGAAGTAGGGTGAATAGATTTTTCCTGCCAAACTCTTGGCCGCTGGTAAGCAATTGTTACTCATTTATTTGATTGATATCATTTTACCTTATTATGTTACTACATTTTGCCATGAAGCTGTAAATTAGTGTAATATTTAAACGAAATAGTTTTAATAGGTTAGGCCTAATACCTTTATATGTTATACTATTAGTGTTAGCTACTCACTACTTTTAGGTTTAACCACGTTTCAATCACATTTGCGTTGTGCGCTTGATCTGATATTGAAAAGTATTCTAATACCATTAGGAATTTTTAAAATATTATTGTAAGCTTACAGCACAGCAAAAACATTATCCAGTATCCAAGTGTGAATGTCAGCTGCAAAGTACTAGAACTAGAACTACTGAACAGGGACAAGTGTTAGGTATATTGATAGATAATGCTTAAGAGCCGAATGTGGGTTCTTGCGATTGATGGAAATCGGAATGTCCAGTGAATTAATCATTCTGAAGAAGGTGTAAAGCGAAACGTTGAGAGTCCAATTAAATCAAAAATAGCTAATTTCGTATTACGAGATCATGCACATCATCATCTTCAGTTTTACTATGTTAAGTACATTTTGTGGATTTTTCAGTATGTGATACAGTAGAAGTATGTCTACATAGAGTTTCATGTGGAATTTCTTGGATATAATGGTCATACAGTTTTCAAATTAGAAACATGTATTAAGGCAAATATGTATTTATATGTTAGGTGTCAAAAAATATTTTCTTTAACTTTCTATTAATTTAATTGGATAATTAATCCTTACGCGAAAATTCTCAGCGTTTTATAACCAAAAATAAAGTGTTCAGACATACATATCCATTACTAGGATTGTCTTAAGTTGTTCAAATATAAAATCCACTTGATAAAAAAGTAATGTATTGTTTTAGTTATTGATATAATACATCAATAAAGTGTATTTGTTATAACATTGTAGCCTACTATGTATAGCTTTAAAACATTATGCTTCTCAGACTTATATTGGATTTGTTTGTTTGTTTGTAATTAAGCACAAAGCTACACAATGGGCTATCTGTGCTCTGCCCACCACGGGTATCGAAACCCAGATTCTAGCGTTGTAAGTCCGCAGACATACCGCTGTGCCACTGGGGGCTTATATTGGAAATGATGTGTTTATTAAAACTTCTATGACTCCTACAAAATTGTGGTGGAAGCCAAACAACGTTTGCCAAGACTTTTTACTTCTGGTTTTCTCAGTGGAGAAGCTTATTGAGGAAACAATAACATGCAGAATATCAAATTATCACACACACAAAAAAGATTCAACAAGAGAAGCTTGACCGAATAAAATATTGAAAGATTTTGAGTTCAGGTTTTCAAATGTGAAGTCTTATTTGTTCCATTTTTCACAAATACGAATAGCGATAAAAGCCTTCTATGTGCTGTAATGTGTAGTTGAACCACATTAGAATAACTTTATTCAATTATTACGGATTGATAATTGGCATATTATGAACTTACAGCTTTACTTAAGGACATTATTCTAAATTATAACATAATTAAAATTTCATTCAGTTTGTTATATGATTTAATGCGAAACATTAGTTATCTATCAATATCTCTGTAATGCTGTTTTTAAATGATCTAGAAATTATCTGGCTATAATAATATATCTTCTCATTATATTACACCAGGTAATCGATTGAACGCTGAA